ACTTCCTGTTGGCTGCAAGCCAAGATGTAGCCAGCACCACATCTGCCTGCAGAGCTCCATGCTCCCCATCACGATGACGATGGGCTGACCCTCTGAAACTGTAGGGAGCCCCAATTAAATGTTCGCTTTATGAGAGTTACTGTGGCCGTGGTGTCTCTTCACAGCACAGAAAACCTTAACTAAAACACAGGGGTTGGCGTCTTAGTTTGGAATGTTCTTTTCCTCAGGAGAACTCCTATGTAGCTCCTTCTTGCCACTCAGGCCCCATCAAGTGTCTTTATCACAGAGGTCTCCTTAATAAGACCTGCCCCTCCAATGCATCCTTCCTTTCTCCTTAAGTTGAGATATAATTCATATAACACTTCATCTAACATAAAACTCACTGTCTTAACATAATAATCAGGGCTATCTTATGCAGCGACCAATGTCATCAAACTCCCCATCATGGCCATCACCACGCAAAGAAACCCCGTGCCTGTTGGCAGACATTCGTCATCTTCCTGACCCAGTTCCTGGCAAGAGATGAGATTATTCTGTCTCTGTGGGTCAGCCTGCTCCAGATATCTCATAAAGCGGAATCCACAGTGTGCAGCCTTTTGTGTCTGACTTCCTTTATTCGGTGCGAGGTTTTCAAGGTTCATTCCTTGGTGTTGATTGACCCGAACTTCCTCCCTTTTTCTGGCTGAAACATGTTCCATTGTATTGACACAGCACATTCTGTTGGGGGTATTCACTAACAATACATTTTTTCCCCTCATGCTTTGGATATTATGGGCAATACTGCAACGAACATTTGTGTACAAGTTTTTGCACATGCGCATGCGTTCATTTCCTTTGGGTGTATGTTTACCAGTGGAATTTCCGGATCTTAGAGTACCATTAACATGTTCCTTGCTTTCCGGACATTGGGATTCTAACAGTCTCTGCTGGGGCTGGCACTGGGGCAGTAAGTGAGGGCAATACTCAGTTAGGACAACCAAGGTCTGCTAAAGCGTCTCACTCTCCAGCGGAGATAGTATTTTCAAGATTTAGGACTGGGAATGGAGAGATGGCTCAGAGGTTAAGAGACCTTGCTGCTCTCCCAGAGGACCTGGGTTCAGTTCCTGGCGCTCACACTGAGAAGTTCACACCTGTAATGCCAGCCCCAAGCAATGTGATGCCCCTTCCTGACCTCCATGGGCGCTGTACTCAGGTGGCATTCACACATACATAGGCACACATACACAGACATATATACACACATGTAACCCCCCCCTAAATAAAACATACACAGACACATACACACACGTGTAACCCCCCCATAAATAAAAATAATAAGTTTAAAGAATTAGAGCAACAGCATGGCTCAGCTGGTAAAGGTGCCTGCCTCCAACCCTGGCGACCGGAGTCGTCCCTAGACCCCTATGGTGGAAGGAAAGAACCAACTCCCACTAGCTGACAAGTTGTTCTCTGACCTCCACATGGTCACTGTGGCACATATGGACCACTGTCTGATACACTCAATAAATTTAAAAGTGTAACTGGAGAACTAGAGTCTGACCTCTGGACCCCATGGTGGACGGGGGTCAGATTCAGAAAATGGTTCTCTGGTCTTTATTCCCCTGACGTTGCTGGCGCTCTCTCATAGGGCACCAACTTTAAAACGGTGCTATGTGGAGCCATCTTCATGAACTTCTTTACAAAATACAGCCGACGTGGTAACCCAGACCTATGATCCCAGTATTCCTAAGGCCAAAACACTAAGGTTGTAAGTTCAAGGCCAGCTTGGACTTGCACAGCAAGATTCTGCTTTATTGTATTTTTTGTTGTTGTTGCTGTTGTAAAAACTATTTCATTAAGTTGGGCATAGTGTCTCATGCCCGTGACCCCAGCATTCCAGAAGCAAGGGGATGGTTTCAAGTTCCAGAACAGCCTGGTCTGTCCTGCAGGTTGCTGACCAGTCAGGGCTACACATCAAGAACGTATCTTTCTTTCTTTTACTTATTTGGGTTCTTGAGACAGGGTTTCTCTGTGTAACAGTCCTGACTGTCCTGGAACTCACTTTGTAGACCACTTTGGCCTTACAAACATGGGTCTGCCTCTGCTTTCTGAGTGCTGAGATTAAAGCCAAGCAGCACCACACCCAGCTCCAAGAATGTATCTTAAAACAAAACATTATCTTTTTTTTTAAACTTTTTTTCAAATATTTTATTATTTATTATGTATACAATATTCTCTTTGTGTGTATGCCTGCAAGCCAGAAGACTCCATTACAGATGGTTGTGAGCCACCATGTGGTTGCTGGGAATTGAACTCAGGACCTTTGGAAGAGCAGGCAACACTCTTAACCTCTGAGCCATCTCTCCAGCCCACAAAACGTTATCTTTAATTCTTTTTTTTTTTTTTTTCGAGACAGGGTTTCTCTAGAGGCTGTCCTGGAACTAGCTCTTGTAGACCAGGCTGGTCTCGAACTCACGGAGATCCACCTGCCTCTGTCTCCCAAGTGCTGGGATTAAGGGCGTGCGCCACCACCGCCCGGCCTACTCTAGTAAATTTTGCACCAGGCTTGTGACATCCCCAGCCACCCAAGTCCCTTCTGGAGCATAAGCCTGAGACAGGCATCTTCTCCACACACTCAGCGGTTTCGTGGGAAATTCAGGGAAGAACTGTCGGTGTGCGAGGATTAAGCTGCCCGCCTTCTCTTTACAGTAGGCCCTCCAGCTGTGCAGTCGACCCTAAAATCAAGCGGGGAGAAAGATCTCCCCAGGGCATCTTTGGGGAAAAATAGACCCAGGACTAATTGATGGGTAGTAGAGGAGATGCCAGTGGGAAGGTCTGTAATCCCTTCTGATACCTAGAACTCTGAGTTAGGCTGTTCCCCAAGTCTGTGCTGGAGCTGAGTAGGGGGCGATGGGGAGAGGGCGCCTCCTAGTGGCTCCGAGTAGCACTGCTCGCTCTGCAAGCCTCCGTGGTAAATAACACCCAGGCTCAGACTTGAAGAGGGCAGCACAAACCTCAGCAATCAGGATACTATTTTAATGCATTATTAAAAGAAAAAAAAAAGTCAACCTGTAAGATGCTGCTTATGGGAGGGTCACTTTATTGGAAATTTAGCAAAAAGCGGAGAACTAAGGCCTCTGGTGCTTGCGATGTTCCACAGAAAGGGCACCAATAGGGGATTAGATTGCAGTATCTGTTTAGATCTAAACCCTTGGTCCCTGGACTCGAGAGATGGTTCAGCGGTTAGGAGCACACACTGCTCTTTCAGAAGATCCATAGGTCGGTACCCAGCATCCAAATTGGGGCAGCTCACAACAGCCTGCAACTCCGGCTCTAAGGGGATATGACGCCCTCTTCTGGCCTCTGCGGATACTGCACTTGTGCGCCCCACAAATAGTTACAATTAAAAATAAAATATTAATAATTAAATAAAGTCTTGCTCTCTCCTCCCTATACACTCCCCCCCGCACCCCTCCCGTCACTGGTCTCCCAGTGTTGTTATATTTTCCTTTTCTTTCCTACCTGGCACTGTGACTCCAGAACCATCTTTCCAAAAAATAACATGACTGTCAGAACCATGATTGAGCTGTTGAGGGTCATTCCACATTCAAGTCATGATAGCTCTCAAGGGCCCAGAAGGTGAGAGGCGATTCCTCTGCACACACCAGCCACACAACTGGCTTCTCAGTCTCTTGCCCTTGGCTCTCTGGCTTACATCTGGGATGTCCCCTGAATTCATTACATTTCCATCACTGGGATAAGATTCCTGAAAGAAACATCTAAATGGAAAAAGGATTTTTGCCTTGTGGCTGGAGAGGATAATGTTCACCATGGTGATGAACGCTTGGTAGTTGGGGTAGCTGGAACATAGATGGCCAAGCTAGAAGTCGCAAAGCCCATGTCCTGGTGACTCACCTCCCCCTGCCACGCTCTACCTCTTAAAGGTTTCCCAGCCCCCACAACAGCACTACCAGCTGGGAACCAAGTGTTCACACAGCGATTTTCTAGGGGACATTTCCTACCCAAACCACCATATCGTCCAGAGGGCCACATGCCAAAGACTTGGCTGCCGGCCTATAGAGCTCCTGGGGGTGGCAGAACCCTAAGGAGGTGGGGCCAGCTTGGGAAGAAGTTATGCCACTGAGGTCATGCATGCCCCCTAAGAGGTGGTAGTGGGATTTTGGCTCCCTCCTCTTTTGCTTCTGGGCTACGGTGGAGTGGTTTGTGTACATGTGCTTTGCTGTGACCTACGGGAGCCAAGCAACCGTGGCTGAATCTCCGAGATGAACCAAAGCATGGCTTCCCTCATGAGAGCTAACCCCACGTCCTATTCAGAAAGCGTATTGAAACATACGATCCCAGGGACCATCTGGGATCCCTGCACTGTACTCCGCTGAAGCTCGTCTTGGACCTAAGGATCAGAGACACACGACGGACACTCATGTGCAGGATAGGCGTATAAACGTGTTTACTCCAACTCTAACGTTTACAAGGGAGCTAGGCGGAAGGTCACCATATACACATTGCCAACTCCGTGCCTCCCGTTTGTCTTACTGACTGGGTTCACCGCTGCCACCGGAAGGCTATCCTGATACCAGCAGGATGCAGAAGGAGATGGGTGACCGCAGGAACAAGTCCACTGGGAGGGACAGGACAGGGGCCCGTCAGCAGAATGCCGGGGGCCAGAGTGGGCTCCGAGCTGGTGCGAGGGCATCTCATGCTGCACGTGGTGCCTGCTGCAGCTCCAGAGGCTCCCGAGTCACCCGGTGACACATGGTGGCGGTGATCTCCACCGCACAGGTCACTCAACAAGATCACGTGATTGCGGTCGCCCAGCTCATTGCGGTAGCGCTGTGTCCCTGTCCAGAATGGACAGACTGAGTATGTGACCCACTCGGTCACGAAGGCAAAGTTTGCCCCAGGCATGTCACCCATGCTCAGCCAGGGCTGAGATCCCAGAAAAGGTTGCCTGTGCCAATGTGGCCATTGCGGCAGGTGCCAGGCCACAGGGACTGATTTGCAAAGGAGTGAGGTTTTGTGTCAACCTCCACCCGTTGGGCCATCTGCGATGAGGTTGGGATGGGCTGCATCAGCTCCACTGCTTCCTCTTCCTCTTCCTCTGCCTCAGAACTTCTCATGTCTTCCCCAGAATAGAAGATCTGCAGATTCAGACACACGGGAGAATGAAGTGAGCCTCTCCCTGTGTCCACCATAGGGCACCTTCTCAGCATAGCAGAGGTGGCCAGAGAGGGCGTGGCAGACGCTTCTCTTTGACTTCCAACGGGCTGTGTGAACAAGCTGAACAAGCTGGAGACAGTGTGGATGGGGTGGGGTGGGAGTGCACGTGCATGTGTGCTATTTTCAGGCACAGAAACACGGACCAGGAGTTCCTGGCTCTGAGATACGCATCCCGACCACCCCGCAGAAGTGCAGTGACCCCAACGAGGGGTCCTTGGCTCAGCCTCCTTGCATTGGCCAGAGCCCTTGAGTTCTGCTCTGGTGTCTCTGTTCCTGGCGTGTTCCTCTTCCCTCCCTCAGGCCTGTCCTGGCCCCAAGTAGCCCAGCTGTCTCCCTCCGGCCACCTTACATGCTCCATCCTGCACACAGACCCACCTTAGAGACCTCCACCTCTCCTTCTCTGTTTGGTTCTCTGGGCTCTCACTCTCATAGGAAGCCAAATACAGACCTAAACCAAAACAGAAGTGAAATTAGGCAATTATGGCAGGTGACTGCAACTCTTTGTTTACCCAGAACTTGACTGGCTTTTTGTTTGTGATTTAAACTTCTCATTTGGAGGTCATTGCTCATAGACAGTTTTAAGGAACAGCATGTGGAGATCCCATGGCCCCTCTACCCAGTTTCGCCCACAGAACCCACATGCAAAACTATAATATAGAGCGTGTCCTTCACTTATGATAGTTTAATGGACAGTTTTTTCCTACGCAGGATGCTATAAGGTGACATGTGGAGAAGAAAACACAATCTGTATTGAATTTGGATTTTTGCCTTGGCTAGCAATAGGAAGTGTGCTCCCCTCTGTGAGCTGCAGCCACACCCCCATCAGTCATGAACTATTCCACACGTAGTGATATAATCTGTTTTATGTTAGGCAAGGCATTAGAGCCCAGCACTCACAAGACAGAGGCAGTCAGATCTCTGTGAGTTCAAGGCCAGCCTGGTCTACATAGAAAGTTTCATACCAGCCAGGACTACATAGTGAGACCCTGTCTTAAAAAAATAATAAAACAAATGCCCCAAACCAAGAATAGTTGTCTTTGTGTTAGATGGCCATGTGATACTGTAAGAGAAGCTTTCTAAGCATGTTTATAGCAGGCTGGACTAAGCCGTGATGATCCATAAGCTAGGGTACTAGAGATGTGTTTCTGACTTATGGTATTTCCAACTCAGGATGGGTTTACTGGGGTGTCATTCCATCATGAATTGAGGTACCCTGGTACAGTATGTACCCTAATCAGGACACTGACATTGGCAGAGTTTAGACATAGGACATTTCCATAACAACTATAGCACCCTATAGGCAAAGGTACCCTTTAGAGGCACACCCACGTCCTTCATGGTCCACACACTTTCTCTTTCCTTTATCCTCCCCTTCCCCCTCTTCTCCCTCACCTCTCCTTTCTTTCTTCCCTCCCTCCCTCCCTTCCTCCTTCCTTCCTTCCTTCCTTTGATTTGGGGATTGAACCCAGGGCAGCAAATCTATCACCAAGCCACACCCCCAACGACTCCACCCATACTTCTAATTTCTGACAAGTACTAATATATTCTCCATTTCCTTCTTTTAGTAATTTAAAAAATGTTATATAAATAAAGTCATCTATATTACATAGATAGATAGATAGATAGATGATAGATAGATAGATAGATAGATAGATAGATAGATAGATATTTAATCTTTTTGAGACTGGAGACTCATCCATGAGGTGGCATGTATCAATGGATCAATGGCATGGATCCTGTTTGTCTAAAGCACGGGTGTATCGCCGGGATTGTTTTCCGCTTGAGGCTGTAACAAGGGGAACTTATAGACACTGATTTATGGGGTTTTGTTTCTCTGTGAGCATGGATAGCATTTGTCCAGAATGAGCCAATGCCCAGGACTCTGCAGTTTCTTAGTCATAAGATGTCACCAGTACTCAGTTTTACAACAAACTCTTTGTCAGTTGGGCATGCTGGTCCTTGCCTGAAATCCCAACCCTGGGGGACCCAAGTGTGAGTTTGGAGCTATGTGGGTTCCATAAGTTCTAGGCTAACCTGAGCTACACAGTGAGATTCTACCTCAACAAACAAAACAAAACAAATATAGGTAACCACAAAAAGCGAAACCAACAAACCCCAAACCAAGACTTCTCTGTCTACACCAACACTTCCTGGGATGTGACGCAGCTTGTTATGACACGGTTATGTCCCAATAAACCTCTGAAGAACGAAACCGCTACTGCCAAATCTGTGCATTCAACAAGCCAGACCTGGCACCACAGGCCTGCAGCCCCAGCTGCTCTGGAGGCCGAGGGAGGAAGATCACAAGGTCGGGTTTGCCTGGGCTACAAAATGAGTTCAAAGCCATCCCAGGCAACTTAGTGAGACCTTGCCTCAAAATGAAAAAGAGGCCTGGGGACAGAGCTCAGGGACAGGACATTTGCCTGGTGATGTGTGAGGCCTTGGGCTCAGTGGTTTCCAGACATCAATGTCTCATGCTAGTGTGTACCCCACGCTACCCTCACACACGTGCCCCATACACCCACCATCCACGGAGAGACCCATAACTCCGCTCTCCTCGTGTGAGCCCCGGTTCTTGTCCTCACTCCCATGTTACTAATGAGGAAAACTGGGAAGGTATTGAAATGCGCCTAGGCCCTACTCTAATTCTTCCATTTTGTATGGAATTCTGACACTGTGGAAAGGCAACCGTGTCTCTTAGGCTTCTCATGGCAGTGGACGTGGTTGGAAAGCTTAACAATGACAGCTCTGTGCTCAGAGAGGACTCTGGACCCAGGGGTTCTTGAAGTCCTAGCCTGCGACCTGTTGGGTTTGTCTTGTGCTCCTTAGGAGGCACCTGGGCGCTGGTTAGACAAGGGAATGTCTAACCAGATCTGCTTGGGGCCAGCAGGCTTGAGGTGTGTCTCTGCCCAGAGTTGGGTTCCCAGCACGATGACCGACTAAAGACTGAACAGTCCTACTGCCTGGATGCCGAGGCCATGGGGCCGCCTTACCGTCCTCGCTGAAGATGGGGGCAGTGTGCAGGTAATGGGTGATGCTGGGATCTTGCTCAAAAGGACATTCCACTTGTTTCCAGGTGATGAACTCTCCAACCTGTTTGGCCAGTTCCAGAAATTTCTGCAGGGTTTACAGAAACACAGAACGGAGCAAAGTGAGTGGCTTGCCTTGGCTTCATCACCTTTATGTGATCTTGTGGATCTGCGAAGGAACATGGGGCCACAGGTGACAGGAGAAAGATGCTGGGAGTTCTGTGAGAGCCACCTTGCCATGTCTCCTTCATTCCTCTTAGTAATCCATGACTCCTGTCACCTTAGGTGGGTGGTAGCAGCCATTGGCCCACAGACTTTTGAGCCAATGTCTCACTATGCCCTGATGGCCTGGAACTACCTACATATATCAGGTTGGCCTCAAACTCACAGAGATCCTCCTGCCTCTGCCTCCAGGTGCTTGGATTAAAGGAGGTGTGTGTCACTTCTGACTGCCCACAGCCTTTGCCTGCATGTAGCAAGAATGTGAATAGCTTTATTTGAATTTCTTTTTGTGTTTTTCTTTTGGGAAATTGATACATACTTGTTGACTTATAGGGTTATAGGTCAGTAAATCTATTTCAACAAAATTTAAGTAATTTAAAGAGATTCATGTTATTTTTAATTATGTGTAAATTATGTGTACATGATTGCCTGTGCCCACAGAGGCCAGAAGAGGGTGTTGGAACCCCTGAAACCAGAGCCACAGTCATTTGTGAGTAGCACAGTGCTGGGAACCAAACGGGGGGCTTGTGAAAGATCAGTACATGATCTTAACTGCTGAGCTATCTCTGCAACCCAGGTGAGGTCTTAAAAATCTTATGGCATGTATTTATTGTGCATGTGTAGGCATATGTGTTCACTGGGGCACAGGTGGAGGTCAGAGGACAACTCGCTGGAGTCAGTTCTGCCCTTCTACCATGTGAATCCTAGGGATGGAACTCAGGTCGTCAGGCAGCAAGTACCCACATCCACTGAGCCATCTCAACAGCCCTAAGGAAATTCGTTTACCTGTATTTTTTTAAAAAATAAAATCATCTTTTAATATGCACAAGTCATTGGTTCTAGGGTCCCCTCACCCCCCTGAGATACCCAAATCCACAGAGGCTCTGATCCCTTCTTTAAGATGGTGTATTATTTCCATGCAGCAGATACACCTCCAGTTGCCGGCTGTTAAACCATTTCCAGGTTGCTCCTCACACCTAACACAATGTAGGAGCCATGCAGATGGCTTCTGTGTGCATTGTCCCGGGAACGGTGACAAGCGAAACAGTCTGTACTCCTTCAGGACAGATGTAAATATGAAATATTTTTCCATTCTTCAATGCAGAACTCGTGGAAACAGAGGGCTAGCTGCATATGTGTTTAAATATTCAAGTATGCTAACTTTCAGCAAGGTTTTAAACACATAGCAGCTGGCTGTCGTCTGTGCAATGCTCCCTGAAGGCTGATGTGTTTGAGCACTTCTTCCCCAGTTGGTGGCGCTGTTGGAAGGTTATGGGACCTTTGGGAGGAGGAGATTTGCTGGGGGACAGTAGGGCCCTGCTGGAGGCCTTTGATGGTTTACAGCCTGGCCCCACTTTCTGTTTGGGGTCCACTTCCAGAATGCAGATGCAACATGGTCAGCCAGCTTCCTGCTCTTTCCTCCACTCCTTCCCTTCAATGATGGACTCTCATCCCTACAGAACTATAAGCCAAAAGAAATACTCTCTCATTCCCCCACCCCCTAGCAAAGAAAACAGGACACAGCCTAAAGTCAAGCCTGGAGCAGAGAACCTACCCTGTGTCATTCCTCAATCAGCCCTAGTGGTGGGGTCTAGCGCACTCCCCTCCCGCACCTGCTCCCTCAGGGTGTGGTCACATGAGTGGGTGTTTCATAGTCTTCCTCAGCTCTGATTCTAGGGACCAATTCAATGAGGAAATGACGGAGTCCCCTACTCCCAGTCATGTGTCAGGATCACCACCAGGAAAAGCCCATCCCAGCCCCCGGGGCCCCTTCTGTCTCATCCTCCTGGCCTCTAGACAAGAGCCGAGGACCACATGCTTGGTTGGACAGTCCCTGACTCTGCCAGCTTTGGGACAACCAGGCCTGTGGGTCACCTGAGATTGGTGAGGACACAAGCGAAGAGCCCAGGCTTGTGCTGTGGTCCTCAAGAGCAGGAGACACCCACAGAGTTTTTGATAGCCTCCAAGACCTGTGTTTGACCATAGTTGTGGCCCATTTTACAGAGGGAGGGGATGTGCGTCGTCGGATAAAGCGGCAGTGGCCTTCCTAATGCTGCGACCCTTTGATACAGCTCCGCATGTGGTGACCCACACCCATAAGATTATTTTTGTTGCTACTTTATAACTGTAAGTTTGTTACTGTTGAGAATTGCAGTGTAGCCAGGTGACAGTAGCGGGGTAGGTCTTTAATCCCAGCTCTCTGTGCGTTTGAGGCTAGCCTGGTCTACAAAGCAAGTTCCAGGACAGCCAGGGCAACACAGAGAAACCCTATCTCAAGAAATCCCCAAAACCAAAAAAATATAATGTAAATATCTGTGTTTTCTGAGGTCTTAGGCAATCCCTGTGAAAAGGTCATTTGACCCCGAAGGGGTTGCAACCCAAAGGTTGAGAATCACTAATACAGAGTCAGTAAAAAGTTCAGAATTTATGCCTCTTAGAGCCGAAGGCTGCATGGGCACCAGGTGATCACCGAAGGTCACTTGCTGACCTTCCTGCAGGGCAAGAGCCTCTTTCCTCCCATAGATCGGAAGGTCCTACTACTTCAAGCCCTGCAGACTCTGTTTGCAGAGCCCATGGGCCACACAGGGATGCGGGTGGGCTCTTCTGAGCCACTCAGGAACTCCAGTTCTGAGTGAGTGGCCGATGCCCTGCCTGCTGTGGGACTCCTTTCCATCTGAGGTACTGGGGGCTTCCCGGAGGAGGGGACATTTGATGAGCCTGGTGAGCTGAGGGAGCAGACAACTCTCTTTGCTTCTGCCTCTGTGGTTTCTGCTTCAGAACTCCATTCTGGGTCCCTTCTTTTGGGGACCTGCCCTGGTTGCCCTGTACCATGCATTCATGTGGTCCCTGAAGGACCTTGCCAGCTGTTCCCATAGGTCTACATTGCTGGCTTTCTCTTCACCCTGGTGCTCTTCAAGGATCAAAATGATGCTGTACCCTGTGGATATTTAGCCCAGAGTGCTGGTTGGCATGTGCCTGAGCCTCAGCCTCTCACTCTGGATGATGTTAGGGGGCTCAGATAATCCCACTCTGAGATGTAGATTGCTGCATTCTGTCTTCACTAAAGCCCCCATTAATCCAGCGATTGGGGGGCTAGCAGTCCCATGTTGGCAGCTTTTGTCTGTGTGTGTGTTTGTGTTTGTATGACTACAGGTATATGTGGCCAAGCAGAGACCAGAGGATAATCTCAAGTACTGTCCACCTTGCTTTTTAAGACAGTCTCTCACTGGCCTAGAGCGAGCTAACTAGGCGAGGCCGACTGGCCAGAGAGCACCAGAGATCCACCTTTCTCCTCCTTCTGGGTCTAGGATTACGAACATGTGCTAACAAACTCAGCGTTTCTGTACATGGGTTCCAGGGATGGAGTTCAGGTCCTCAGGAAAGCACACCACAAGTACTTCTCTGAGGCATCTCTCCAGCTTCCCCCCTTATTCATGCTGGGGACTTTTAGCAGCTTGTCTTCTTCGCTGGCATCACTGAAGGCCTGCGGACCCACCTCGAAGTTGACATGCCCGTTGGGAAGGCGGTTGGCACAGCCCTCGTTGAGAAAGTAGATGTCTTTGATCAGCAGGCTGAAGAAGGGGATGACAATCTGGAAGGGAGAGGGTGCAGATTGATTTTTACGTTGATACGTAAAAGTGAGGGCCCCGCCCCAGCAGCCCAGAGCTAGAAGAGGGCTCGGAGCATAGGCACATGAAGTCCTAGCTTGTCCACCTGCCCCCTGGCCACCCAGCCTCAGCATGGAAGGGAGAAAAACCATGCAGAGCTCCACCGTGGCAAGTTACTTCTCCAATCGGAGTTCAGCCCAGCTTCTACTTATTCACCCTACAGTCCAACTCCTGAGCTGTGAGCCAGGACCTCTGCAAATGACACACAGTACCACCCGTGTCCTGGGAACAGAGGAGCACTCGATAACAAGGCTGGGATAGTCACAGTTGTGCAAGACGGGGTTGGATACCTGGCTCTGCCATGGCCTTACAATACAACTGTACAGTGAAGAATGCTCTCAGAGACTCAGTCTTCCAATCTGGCAGATGGGAATGCTGAAGCCCATCAGAGTTAAGTGGTAAGCGGGGCGGCATGGAGCCCTGCCTTGCTGTCTGACTTTCTAACATCCTGGCTCCTGGGATGGGACAGGCTTACTAGGACAGAGACTGGGCCAGGTGATTTGGTCCCCCAGGTTCCTGACTGCTAGAGTTTGGATCCTGTGTTTTCCAAAGGCTCATATGGCTATGGCTTGCTTCCCAGGGAGGTGTTATGGGAGGTTGTGGAAACATTAGGAGTAGAATTTACTTAGCAAGAGACATGCCTTTGAAGGGACTATGAGACCCTGAGTTCTTTCTCCTCGTTGGCTCCCCTACCATCAAGTGAGCAATTTAATTCTTATCATGTGTCTTTCCCATAAGAGGCCCACAGCAACAGAGTCCTCCAATCATGGACTGAAACCATCGAAATTATCAGTCAAAACCAATCCCTTTATAAGTTGGTGCTGTCAGCTATTCAGTTACAGTGACAGAAATCTGATTAATAAGACTGATACAGTCTTATCCAGTCAATACTATGGCCGGAGAAGGAAGGGGCTATGAAGACGGACACTTCTGACTTTTGACGGTCTCTTCCTTACCTTCTCTCTGCTGCTGTGAGCAGTCAGCGAGCGGTGAGCTGCGCCACGCAAGGCTGTCCTATAGTTGCAGAAATTCCCCGTGGGGTCCATCTGGTGCTGGGAGGAGACAGGGGGGCAAGTGAGCAGCAATACTCAGGGACCGGCTGGCACACCCCTTAGAGTAGAAACCCTGTTTACCTCTAGGATGAAGAACTTGGCTGTTTTCACTTTGGCCCAAGTCTTCTTGAGCCTGGAGACAGGGCTCATGTTCATGCCGGCTAGAAGAAGGTGTACAGAGTTGGGAGGGCCCCTCCAGCCTGGACAGTCCCCTTTGTTCCCAGAGTGTGCCCTGAGTGTGGCTGAAGGGTGGTTGAGTGGGTAGGAGCTGGCTTTCATTATACCGAGGTTGTCAGGTAACTTCGACCCTGTCCCAACTACACAGGCCTACCGTGGCTTCACCAGGATCCATTTTGGTCTCTGTCTTAAGGTGTATACTGACGAACACTTCAAATGCACCCTTGGGGGATAGACCCCGCTTCAAATGGACCACCTCCATCAGCCTCTGATGTGGGCAGGGATGTGGCCCACAGCCACCTACTGTGGAGACCTCGACATGCACCCCACCTGCTGGTCGTGCCCACGTTAATCTCTCTGGTGGTCCTCACACAGGCTACTTCAGGTCTGGGCAAGCTCACTCACAGATAATGGCCATGAGGGAGTTGAAGTTGCCGATGTTGAAGCACTCGCGGGCCACGTCAATGAAGAACTCAATCACCTGTGCCCTCTGCTTCTTCTTGGCTGGCTGGGGGACAGGACCAGAGCTTCAGTGGGCACGCGTCCCCACTCCTTCCTGCTCAAACACCACATTCAAGCAGCCTCCTCCTGCCCTTCTCAAAGCCCACTTCACTGGGGATAAGTCCAAGGCCCGGGGTCTCGGGACCCTTTGTGGCAGAGCCAGCACACGCCTCTGAAGTGTGAGGTCAGATGCGACCCCGTGACGCTCCTGTGGGGCACAGGTGCCCTGAAGGGGCTGCGAGGTGTCTTTGGGATGGTGCCCCCTTGAGGTTTAACTTCCCATGAAAGACAGAAGTACTGCCATTTTCTTCCTCCCCACCATGGAATTTGCTCTCTCCTCAGTGAGGGCCAAACAGCAAGCCTGGGGCCTGCCATTGCTTTTTGTGCTGTCCCTTTATTGCTTCCTGCCAGAAAACTACGCCACTATGAAAAGTCACCTCGGGGACAAGTGCTTGGGACTCTACCTTTCAGGTGGGTCAGAATCAAACTGTCCCTGGGTCATCCCAGGAGGGTTCCTGAGTGTCCAGCTGTGCTCTGTCCACACAGCCACACAGCTGAGCCAGCAATGTGGCTATGGGAACCGGGCCAGGCCTGCTTGTCCATCCACACAGTCATGGTCTCTCTGGCCACCAAGAAGTGTACTGTGACACATCTGGATTTGTGCCACCAAAGTCCCTCCAAGGAGTGGTCTCCGCTGCAGAGAGCTGCCCACCCGAGATGTAGTCCTGCCCTTCAAAAGGCAACACACTCACCGACGACAGTGACAGAGCCAGGTGAGGTTTAGAGAAAGGCTGACCTCTCACCCCACCGTGGACACCACAGAGCCGCTTAGCACACGCCTGACGGCTCTGTCCCTCTCTCAAGTGCAGACCCCTAGTGAGCATTGACCCTTGACCTCTGTCCCATTGAGCCCAACTGGACTAGGCAGTCTCTCCTCTTGTATTTCACCTTAGAGGACACTACCCTTGGTATAAAGGAAACGAAGATGCCAGGCAGGGCATGGTCAACACCAGGATGCCAAAACTTCCAGCTGACAGAAGTAGTCACTGGCCTAGACCTGTTTTGCAATTCAGTATTTTTTTTTAAAGAATTATGGTTCCTCGTTTTCTATATTAAGAAAAAAAAAACGACAGATAAAAAGTGCCCTGGAGACTGATGGCTTGGGTCAAATAGTTCATATACTTCAGAGCACTGAATAGCATTCAAAGCAAGGCTGTTACACACGGTGAAACCTATAGCGATAACCTGCTTTTCTCCTGCAAATGTCATTCACTAACAGCACTAACAATAGCATGCATAGTCTCAGAAGACACTAGTCAAAAGCAATAGGGTTTGGTGTCAAACAAAACCAAGGACTTAGGAATAGATTTATTTCCAGTCTCACTGTTGGCCTGGACTTTCAATTTGCAATTTTCTAGTTCTTAAAGGTTAGACCATCTTTTACCCCCAAGCCCCAAGCAAGCTACACAACCCAGTGGCTCAAGGCACACAGGTCTAGACTGAGGCACATAGTGGGCTGCCCTCATTCCTCAACAACCAATCCGACTTTCTCCGCAGCCTGGGCTGGTGGAGTCACCCTGAGATTCCCTGGTCTGGCATGGTGGTCGGTCATGCCCTGGGCTTCAGAGGTTGGGGTTCAGTACATCCTTCCAACCCCCAGGTAGCCTGTGACTGGCAGGCAGGGCCAAGCAGCTACTCACCATGCAGATTTCAGTCGCTACGAGATAGCACAGCCGGTTGAACCACTTCACATAGGCCTCTACGTTGTTTGTCTTGTCGTTGAAGCGGGGCTAGGAAAGACATGTGGGCTGAATCTCCTTGTTGCTGAGTTTTCAGAGTGCAGAATCAGATCATAGTCATAAGGGGGAACCCAGACACTGTGACGGTCTCAAAGTCAGCCAGAAACACAGTGACCCGAAGTGTAACTTCCTGGTCTGCTTCTTAAGGGCTGGCGGCTCTAGACTGGTCCCCACCATCACCAATGTGGGAGACCTTGGTTCCATCCACAGCACCAGATGAAGTACAAATATATGAATTAGTGAGGCTGCAATTCAGAGTTTACTGGTACGCACACATAATCAATATTTATTATCCATAGAGTCTGTATTTGTAAATTTGTCCACTGTTTAATTGTTTCTGTAATCCCAGCAGCCTGCATTGCTTTCCCATTCATTGGCGTGCAGGGACAGAAAGGCAAAATATTTGATCCGCTCAACTTACATAAGCATTTCCAGCTAAGACTGGACTAAACGAAGCTGTTGTGTCTTGTTTCTGCTCATGCTGTGAGCAAGGATCCTTTCCCCTGCCTTTTGTTTGGTGTCTCTTCTATTGTTGTGTTTTCTTTGGAGGATAGTTTCAGTGTTTTGAAAGGATCCCAAGAATAATACTGAAGTGATATGTTTCATTCCTAAGAACACAAGGTTAAGCTGTGTCCTACACAGAGAATAGGTGCCAGGGGGCCTTCGTTTATCTGTGACATACAGAGTTAGATAGACAGATGGATAGACAGGTGAACAGACAGACCGACAGAGGGAGAGACAGACAGTAGGTAAATAGATTAGATATACATACAGATAGATATTTCCTCTCTGTGGTGCTGGTGATGAAACCCAGGGCCTTGCACATGGCAGGCGAGCATACTACTTCAGAGCTACAGCTCAGACCCAGGCACGAGTTGGCCTGGCCATTTGCCCTGAGCTCAGAGTTAAATAGGGATGCACAGTAGATAAGTGTCTTTAAACATGCACACATAACCACGACAACGTGTTGATTGCCTGTAGAAGGTGTTGAGAAGTCTGCCGGAGCCCAATGTTGTTGCATTTTTCCCCCAGGAGCAGTGGTTTAAGACTGCTAACTTGATGTCTGTGTTGGCATTCACATAATGACTGGGAATAGCAGAATCAACTCTATGAATGTGTGTAGTATGTATATATATGCATACCTATAACTATAGATTTTCATTTTAACCTTTTCCTGAGTCATAAAATGTCTGGGGAAAAACCAATTCCAATCTATGCTGAATGTTCTATGAAATATATATATATATATACATATATATGTATATATATCATATATGTGTGTGTGCATGTGTGCGCTATTGTTAAAACTATTAAACTTAAGATAAAGAAATGTGTATGCTGAACCTTTAATCCCAGCAGTTGGGAGGCAGAGGTAGGTGGATCTCTGAGCTGAAGTCAGCCTGGTCTACAGAGCGAGTTCCAGAACATCCAGGACTACACAGAGAAGCCTTGTCTCAAAACAACAACAACAACAAACAAACAAAAACAAAGAAATGTGTACGTTAAAACTACCAGGGTAATTTTCAATTAACAGAGGAGGTAGACGGAAAGAGACAAAAAGAAAGGAGAGAGAACTAAATCGGGAGATCAAGGAAGAGAACGACAAATGCCACAGCAGTCGATGAGGACAAACGCTTGCAGACCAGCAATTGTAATCAGATCCCATTTCTTGCCATTTTCTAAGTCGAGGATATAAGTAAAAAAGAAATAGGAAATTATACATTTGATAAATGTCACATAGCGATTCGAAGGATCTGATCCCAGCCTTTCTGGCTCAACTAAGATTTTTCAGCTTTATGGTGGGCTTATCAGGACAGAGCCCTATCAGGAGTACAGAAATAACTGTAATATCTAGACAGGTTTTAAGGCAAAAACTATTCTGAGGGAAAAGCTTTGCAGAAGCAATTAAAGGGCAACCACACAATAAGAGGTCCAATCTGTTGGGACAATGTCATGAGTGTAAACATGGTTGTGCTAAGTTACACCATGTCTTCAAAGTGTGGAGGAAGGGGAGATGACTCGGTTTCCTGAGTTTGATGCCCAAAACCACAAAAAAGCCAAGCTTGGTGGCACTCACTTGTAATCCCACTGATGTGATTGTTATATTGACGAAGAAACGGCGAGATAAATCACAAAGAATATTAAAGTGGTTGTGAAGAAATTTAGAACAGTTATCAGTGAGAGACTTTCTATCTTAAATTTGAAAATGGAAGGGAAATGGTTGAATCCTGTAACACTGCCAGAAGCTACAAAACAACTTAAGAGGAAAGAGAAAAGCAGGGGCCAGCTACCCAGGAGACTGAGGCAGGGGGATCCTAAGTTCAAGATCTGACTAAACTAGTTAGTGAGCCTGTCACACAATAAAAAGGAAAAAAAAGCACAAAGGAAGGTTGGGAGTGTAGCTCAATGGTAGAGTGCCTGCCCAGGAAATAGAAGGCCCTAGGTTCGATCCTCAGTATCCCTTTGTGGGGGTGGGAAAAGAATAAAGAGAAAATCTAAACAGTCTTATAGTCACTAAATAATAATAAGAATAAACTAAGAAACAAACTAATGAGAAAACTCTTGACTATTTTTGGAGGACCGAGTTTCTTTAAGAACACATCAGACTTGGACGTTTTCCTGGCAAATGCTGACTAATGCTCCAGCAATAGGCAGTTCCAGTCTTTTATACATAACAGAGAAAAGAGAAAGAGCAGCCAAAAATAGTATCAGGAAGAAAAGTACCGGTCAGTCTTACTCATGGTTGACAGTGGCAGATGCTCTAAACAAAACATCACACAGGGCCCAGGGATGCACGGAAGAGATGAGGGTTTATCTCATCCCTGTTCTGCTTATTTCAGAAATGTAAGGTGGATTCAACACTGATTTAAAAAAAAACTAATAAAAGCAACCACTTCACAGTTTAGGGGAGACGCAACATGTGAATTCTGAGGCAATGCATTATTATGAAAATATTTCTCACATCTCAGAGACAGGAAATTTGCTGGACCTTACAGCCAAGATTTTGATATACCTTGAGGTCACGTAAGAGTGTCCGATATTCAGCTGTGTACTCAGCCCGTTGGTTCAACCTGCCTCTAAGAGAACGATGTAAAAACATCCGCACTTGCCTTGGATTCTCCACAGAATCAGCTTTTGCAGCCTCAGCTAATCCATAGCTGAGCTTTAATCTTCAATTCTGTATTCTTCCAGGCCTGGAGCAATGCATGTGTGTTTGCACGTGTGCTATGACAACCATTGGCTGGAAATAGCAGACAGGACAAAAGAGACTCTGCGATAAAGTATCTGCCACAAATGCTCAAGACAGCATGGAGACAGTCTGTTTGCAGAACCGTTTGCTGTCTGCGTCAGTTGGGATGGGTAGGCTCATCCCTTGTGAGACTCTGTTAGAGATTCCTGTAAAGTGCCCATCAGTCCTCCCTCATGAGGTGCCTTAATAAAGGAGAGCGAAGTCCTTTGTTAGGGACAGATTCAGGCAGGCTCAGTATCAGACTCATCTGACACAGATTACAGGCTGCTCAGAATCATAAGCTACACAGAGACAGAGGGCACATGGAGAGGAGCGGGCAATTCAGACTGGGCTCACTCTTGGACAAAGTCCTCCAAGAGGAGGTGTTAGATGCTTTTCCTGAACGTGATGCCGATGCATATCAGTGAATCCGAGACTTCCTCTAATGCCTGTAGTCTGTGCAGAGTAATAGAGCCGGAGAAAGAATCCAACAGACCCGAACAACCACGCAGGATGGACCTCTTGACAAACTAAGAAGCAGGGCTCCTTTCCGAGACCTGAGGAAATGACCTAACACACTCAGGTATGACCTGCTAAAGGCATTCCTTCTAAACTCAGGAAAAGAAGGTTCTCTTCCCTCAACACCACTGCTTGACATTGTAGCAGTGTGTGTGTGTGTGTGTGTGTGTGTGTGTGCCCGCGCGTGCGCGTCCCACATTAAGTAACGATCCTAGCATTTCAGAGACCTAAAGTGACAGAGGAAGGCCTGTCTTCTATTCCTGTCCCTCTTATACCTGAGGGGTTTCTATTTTATGGCTGCCACAAAAACAAAACAAATACTGTTTCAGGGGCTGGAGGGATGGCTCAGTGGTTAAGAGCACCTGCTAGAAGCTCCCAGCATCTACTTGGTGGCTCAGGGGTAGAATACTCGCCTAGCATGCACAAGGCTCTAGGTTCAATGTCTAACACCTAAAACAAAGTTCTATTTAGTACTGTCAGTTACAAAATTGATATACAAAAAAAATTACTGTTGTCTTAATGGGGAGCACCTGATTGGCCTCGAGCCGGTTTTCACTGAATACTATTTTGACTTGAACGACAGAGAACCTGTCGTTAGTCAGAGCAGCGTTTGGCTGACCTTGCCTTGATAATGGATGAGAAGCTTGTCACCTCCAAGAGAACAGTTCATAGCATTGCAGCCAATGATGAAGTTCAAGCTTTCAAGAGAAACTTGGAACTGACAAAACCCTTGTCCACCTCTGGGAGTGTGACAGCCTCTGGGTTTTCACAGCTTTTCTTCCCCCCAGCAGTAGGGAGATCCGCTTCACACAGCGTCTCCGGGTTTTCTCAAGGGGCCGATGTACGCATAATCACACAAAGTGGCTGATGTAAGCATAATCACATATCGAGGTGCCTGACAGTCCAGTGAGTGTCACGGTATATGGAAAGCTTGATGATATATTTTTGGATCTCGTGTTACAATGAGCGTTTAAAAATCAGCACTTGCGATATCTAACAAGAATATGGACAAATATCTCACACGAGTTTCAAAGATTTCAAATTCTCAACTACATACCCGTGAAGGCCCCTCCCCCCAGGAGGTCGGCTCTGGGATGGAACCTAGGGTTTCCTGAAGCGGAGGAAAGGGCTCTTGCCCTTGCCCTCCAGCCCCCAGCCTGAGGACGCACGTTTACAAAGTTGACGCCTTTGCTCCTCGGCCTTGTAAAGTCATGTGATCTTTACCAACAGTCCAGAGGCACAGTATGTCTAGCTTATGCTCCTTGCCTCTCTCAGAGGGCAAAAGACGCAATCACACACTATAGCATTTAATTTGCACTCCTTTTGTTAGGTGGGGCCTTGACTAGAGGATGCTTCCAGTTCTGGCTGGATCTAGCCTTTTGGTTGGACGCCCTACTCCGGTGGCTGGGCCTCTAGGAGCTAAGAACTAGCTCTAAATCCTGACGTGGCTCAACGTGCCCAATCTTCTCAAGGCGGCCACTTTTTTCAAGCACGGGGCACCAGCCGGCACTTCCGTCAGTGGCCGCTGGAGGGCACCGGCGCCCGCCGAAATGCACAGGGAGTAGGTCCTAGGACGTGCAAGATGCACCCTGTGTCTGATCTCTACCCAGTGTAGGAGCTAGACTCAAGGTGATAGCAGGTTTAACGAACACGCCTCCACCCTGGCTGAATGAGTGATCTGATAGGGTTCACCCAGTAAGTCTCATGAGCTCCCTGGGACTCGGTGCTGTTGCCATCTGAGCTGGAAAGCCCTGGGTAGGGTGGCCAGGGGCCCTCCATTCCGTTCTGAGCATCATCAAGGCTCCCCTAGTTGATGCCGGTGAGATCCATCCATATCAAACCCCCCCCCACACTACACCCTCTCCACCCCCACCCCCTACCCTCTCACTCCCCACGCCCTGGCATGGTCACCACTAGGTGGAGGCCAATGTTGCCGAGGCTCTTCCAAGAACCTCTTACCTTTGTGCCCTCCAAGGGGTCCTTGTTCACAAAAGCCTGGACAAACTCCTCGGGTCCAATGTGTCTTAGTCGCTCCTGCACGGGAAGGGAGAAGAGTCAGAAGAGAGGGAAGGTGTGGGGAGGGGGTACCACGCCGGGGAGGGGAACGTGCCCACTTCCCTTCATTGCTTCTCTCGGGGGCCCTTTGGCCTCTGCACCTACACAGAAACCCGTGTGTTTGGGGCAAGGTCAGCTCATTCCCTTTTCCGGGCACGAAGGAGGGTTTAGCTGTTGCTCTGGAAAGGGCAGCCTCCCCTGCCCCCCACCCCCAGGCATGTAGGGCCCCAATGGGAAATTCCTTTGGCCTGAGAAGAACACACAGTGAACGACATCACGATAGAGTTTGAACCCAATTCCTCTGTCCTCAGCCTAGACTATGATGTTGGCACTTCTAGACCTCCTGTGCCACCCCCAAGAATGCCGAGGGACTGTTCCAGGGTCCTCTGCAGATGCCCCTGGTCTCTGGGCCTAGATCCCTGGGCTCGCCTGAGATCAGGAAAGACAGGCTGGGAGCAGCATTGGCTGTTTGCAATTGCTCCCTTCCCTGGGTCCCACTCACCAGCTCCACATGGGTCAGTTGCTGGGCCAGCGTGTAGGGGTCACTGCAGACACCTAGGAGCTCCCTGTGGATGGAGGCTGGTGGCTTGGTCCTGTATGAGATGGGCTTGTCCGCCCCTACCAGGCCTTCTGGCCCCTGGCCAAGTGATGCCAATTTCTGGTGCAGAGTCTGCAGGAGCTGATGCATCCTGTTCCCATAGGTCTAGGGCGAGGCGAGGGGAGAAGGTGCTCAGGCTTGAATATCCACACCCCAAACTTAACCACAGCTGCAGGCTCTAGGACGAGTGTGTGAGCGTGTGTATGCATGCATGTATGTGGGCATGCACATGTGCTTGTGTGTGTGTGTGTACACACGTACGTGTGCATGTGTGCACAGGCGTGTGTGCTTGCGTGTGTGCATGCATGTGTGTGCTTGTGTGTGTGTACACGCGTACATGTGCGTGTGTGTGTACATGCATGTGTGTGCTTGTGTGTGTATGCATGCATGTGTGTGTCTGTGTGTGTGTCCGTGTGCATGTGCGTGTGCATGGCTCTGCGGACAAGGCCAGGTACCAGCAAACACACTGTGACCTGGGACCTGACAAAAAGAGCCTTCATTGAACTTGTGGTAGTTGGGGCCAAAGTGAATGCCAGTTGGGAGAAGGCTGCAAGGTTACAGGTGGAAGCTGAGGAAATACTTTGGGTAGAACATCTCTGGCTAACGTGGCTACAGGCAGAGTGGGGAAGGCAACCCAGGGAAGGAGAGAGAGAAGGAAGGGAAGGCATGGGACAGGTCCTGCCTGGAGCATTCACCTCTTACTGACTCCGTGGGAACCATCCTGCTCCTTGAGCGTGCCCAACTCAGAAAAGGCTTCCCAACCAGTCTTATGCTCCTGCCTCAGCCCCTAGCAGTGCTACCTTCTTCAGAGTGACTTCTCTTATAGGACCCCAGCTGGATGGGACAGGACGTGCCATCTCTGTCACAAGAGCCCAGCCCAGTTCTGGGCACGCAGCACGTATTCCATGAACAGGGCAGGAACAAACCTGCTCCACGTGGAGCTCAGGACAATGGCCGCTTTGGATTATGCTCTGGACTGGGGGCTGAACAAGAGGTTCCTGCAGGGGCATCTTCTTCTACCCACAAGGGGAAATCTATTGTATCTCCTTCAGAGATCATATTTACTTAAAAAATATTTTTTAAATAAAAAAATAGGTGCGTGCGTGTTTGCTTGTGTTTGGGTGTGTACACTTCAGTGGAGTTGTTCTCAAAGTCCAGGATAGGGTTTCAGCTCCCCTGGAGCTTGAGTTACAGGTAAGTTGTGAGCTGCTTGGTGTAGATGAACTGACCTTAGTCCTTCTGCTCTTAATCACCCCTGAATCACATCAGCCCCAGAGACACTACTTCTAAACAGAGATACCATCGGCCTAGCTGGGTTTATTGAGACATCCACATATCCGAAGAGTTTTGGCCAGTAACTCGAGTGTGTTAGCCCGAGTGTGTTAGCCCGTGGCAAATGTCACACATAGAGAGATGACTCCACGCCTCATGAGCCAAGGAGTCATCCCGGGAGCTGGCAGATCAACAAGAGGCAGTTGTGGGAGCCGGCTTTCTCAGGTGCTCTTAGGATTCATCTGTAGAGCTCTAATGCCCCCAAATGACAGGTCATTGGCCACAAGCACTGACAACAGTTTGACCCTGCATGGGGAGCGGGGCAGCAAGAGGGGGGCCTCTGTGGCACAGGTCCCTGGATATGGGACTTTGCAGGTGATTTAGTGGGTCAGAGAGTCACTGCCGGGCATCCAGTCCATCTGAGTCCATTGGTGGGTCCTACTCACCACCTAACGCCATTGCCAGGATGGAAGGGAGAGGTAAAGATACTGGACCTAAACAGGGTCTGGCATTCCCTCTCAGCTATGTAGGGCCTGGTTCCTCCATGGGCTCCAGAGGGCCCATTGAGGGGCTGTACCATGCGGTGTGAGGAGAGAAGAGCCCAGGGGAAACTAAAACAGGCTCAGGACCTGGATAGAAAGACACAGGAAGGGGAAGTGACATCCACCCTGGCTGACCCACCTCGTCACACGGGGCGATGCGGCCCACCACGTCTGTCAGGTGTCCTATGGTGGACTCCTCTTCAAAGTCCCGTGGGAAGGTTTCGGTCCACTCGGCCAACAACTGGAGCAATTTGGCACCAAACTTCCGGACTCGGGCCTGCAAGGCAGAGCAGAGGCAGGGACCACTTGGCGGGGTGCAGTGAGGAGCTGTCAGGTTTGCACTGAGCATGCTCTGCCTATCTGGAGCATCCCTGGCCTCTCCCTTTCTGGGAGTTAAGGTATCTTAGTTCTTTCATGGGGCTCCCTCTCTTTTACCAGAGGCTCAGGCCCAGCTCAGAGATGGAACTATATGAGTTCTGGCCAATCAGATCCTTGTGTTCTAATTTATCGTGTGTAATGACCGGCGCACAGATGAGCCTATGACCTAAGGCAGACCAATGAAATCTCAACCTTTTACCTTTAAAGGTCTTTCCAGGAGATTGGAAGGTTAGAAGGTCTCCTTGGCAAAGGAGGCCACCTATCGCCATGCACGAGAATCTGCCAGCACTAGTGAGCCCTTAGTCCCAGGTGAAATCAGGGCAGAGCATCCAAGTGAGGACGACCATGTCCTAGTTCTGTGATTTGGGCCCCTCAAAGAGAAGGCAGTTACATGCGTCAGCCAAGTCCCTTTTCTTGGGTCAGTTTAAGTTGAGTTTCTGCCACCCTACCCAAAAGCCAGACCGACACAGGTGCAGAAAATCATAATTCACAGGATCAGGTCAGGGAGAGGGAAAGAGTCTGAGGAGCCATGGCATGGAGAAGCCATCCTTCTCCTACAGAAATAGGAGCCCAGCAGAGGCATGGGGCCATCCCAGGCCACAGGGGTTAAGGGCCTCATAAACTAGGCTCTGGGGACACATCACTAGCTTTAAGAAGATCTCACCAGACTTTGGGAAACGGCACAGGTGTAAAGGTGACTATCCTTGCAGGTCCTGGACCTCGGGTAACTTAATAGGCTCCTTTTCCAGAAGGCAGAAAAACCACTTCCTCCCAGAGAGGCTGACCCTGTGAGGTCACGCCCCGGGATACGGATGCACGCAGGGGCTCCCTGGCCTGCCCAGCCCCTCACCTTGTCCAGCACTGGCTTGTCCAGCTGTTCCTGCTCTATGCACAGGTGGCACACCCGAGCCAGGAGCTCCCGGGGCTCGATGAAGAGACGCGAGCTCAGCAGGAAGGTGAAGATGTAGGCTTTCTGGTGAGGATAACACACAGGCTCATCAGGGAACAGAGAGTGTGTCGGTTGCCAGCCTGCCCCAATTCCCCCGGCACAGGCCATTCCCGGTCCCACCAGCTGCCCCCTGCTCTCCCCCGCCACCCCTCCCCCAAGGCGGCTCACCTACCTCGGGGTAGTAATCGGCTGTAGGCACCAGGTGCTGAATCAGGGTGTCCAGAGAGGCTGAAGATGGAGCTCCATCTAGGAGGGGCTGTCCAGCCTGCTCGCCTTCTGTGGATTCTGTGGGAGGTGGGCTGAGGCTGCCCGGGGTGACCATGTCGGAGGCACTCAGTGTCCGGGGCATGCCTGCCTGCAATGGCGAGAACCAGTTGGGGTAACCTAAGCTGGAGCCCACTGACTCTCTGGGCTCCAGGCTGAAGGACTCTGTCTCTCACTGTCCACATCATATGAAGCTGCCACTGTCCCTTACTTCACAGCCCAGCATTCTTTCTCCATTTTCCTACAGCCCCTCGGTTCCTCCCCCAGGAACTGTCTCTTCCTTACTGTCTGTTTCTTCAGAACCTCTCTTCTTGGAAAACCCCTCCACAAAAGCTGCTTCTCTCTCATTTTTATAGTTCAGGCTAGCTGTAGTTCTCAGCAACCCCCCCGCTGCTTCAGACTCATTTCGTGTTGGCATTATGGGGGTGAGCCACCATGCACACGAAAAGTTGTTTTTCCAAGTCCCCAGTAGTCACCAAAGCTACTGGCCCCCAAGTCTGGCTCAGGTAGGATTCTGATCCAGGATAGGGGTTCAGGAACAATCCCAGATCTTCCTTGACATTTGGAAGCTATTGTTCCCCTGGGTTCCTACTGACTGGGACTGTGAGCTCGATGTCGTTGAGTTCATCCCGTCACTGTGAGGATCTGGGAAAGCAGGCACACTCTTTTTGGGGGGGAAAGAGCTGGGAGTGAACCCTTGTGCATACTACCCAAGGGCTCGACCACTGAGTTAACATCCCCCTTTGCTACTTTTCATTTTGAGACAGGGTCGGTCTTCTAAGTTGCCCGAGCTGGCTTTTGTACGCACTCTGTAGTCCAGGCAGGCCTTGAACTTATGATCCCCTTGCCTTAGCCTGCTGAGCACCTGAGATCGCAAGCCTGTACTACCAGGTCTGTCTGAAAGCAAACACCTTCCAAGAACACTGCTGGAGCTCCTGGATGCTCTGCTTGAGCCATGCTGTAGACTTACCTGTTAGATACACCTGCTTAAGTTGGAGTTCTTGCCAGTGGAGTTAAAATCACTGCCTCCTGCGGCTGCCCTTGCAGGCACTCTGTGATAGAGGCTCACTCACCTGCCCAGCTCTCCTTCCTCCCTTTCCCCTCATGCTTTTGCCAACCACCATGCACTCTCCTTCCCAAACACTGACCCCCCCCCCCCCCCCGGAACACACTGTCCCGCCTGCAGGGTGGCTATCACACCATCCTTAGTCTTCCCTCAATACGTGTCAGAAACACCTCTGGGGCTACCCCTGCTTCCTCCCAACGTCCCTCTGCTGCAAGACCACGGCTAATCCCTCGTGGATACCAGTGGACTTTTATTGTGAGCCCCGTTGTAGGGCTGGGGGCTTCTGTCAGTTGCTGGTGTAGAGAAAGGCCTTGGGGGCGTTAGTGTTCCCTCCATGCAGGCAAGCCAGAGTGCCTCTGTGGTCTGGCCAGCAAAGGGCTTTTGCGCATTTTTTACAGGGAACCTATGCTTGCTCCCAGCTCTTCCACACAGGCCAGTCTGTGGGTGTTGGACCAGTTCCAGCCTAGACGGTTAGGTCACCCCACTTTCTCAAACACAGAATCTTACAGGATCGCCCTGAGGAAGTTCCCAAGACTTAGTATGCCCCCTGAAAGACTCTGGCCTTTTCCTGCTTTTTCTGCCCACTACTGATTCTGACCTGAGAGTAGAGACAGAGAGACAGGAGGTCAGAGCACACTCAGGGGTGAGAGGAACCCTTCAGAGAGCTAGCCACAGTCTGTGATGTGGGGAGTGCTGGGACGAGGCTTGGTCACCAGGAGCGGTGGCGCATGCCTTTAATTCCAGCACTCTGAAGGCAGAGGCAGGAGGATCTCTATGAGTTCAAGGTCATCCTGGCCTACAAAGGAGTTCCTGGATAGTCAGCGCTATTACACAGAGAAACCCTGTCTCGAAAGGTGGTAAGAGAGGGGGGGTCTTGGTCACTCCATGTGGATGGACATGTGGATGAACAGCCCTGACTTTGGTGACAATCACAGCTTAATTTACACCTCCCTAACAAGCTAAAAGCACTCAATGTTCGGTCCTGAAAGTGAAAATTTCACAAATGCCCTCTGCAGGTGAAGATTCACAGGGGCTGGGGTTAAGTTCTCAGTGGAGAGGGTGGCCATCTCTAGAGACAGCAGACGCCAACCATGTCTCACACCTGGGGCTCAGCACCTGGTTCTAACTCCACGGGTCAAAGTGTGGGAGCTTAGACGGTCCTCTCTCTCCTGCGTGATGTCTGTCACCTCTTCACCCTGCAGCCTGTCCTGGATCCCAATTCAATTTTCTCCAAGATGGGCCAGTGACCGCATGGATGCGACAATGACTCTCAGTGGGACAGGGTAGCAGTCTGTCACATGGTGGAAGGAACCAGAGGGATGCTTCATGAGACAATCAGGGAAGCTCTCAGAATACCTGGTTTAGCATCAGACATTTGATGCTGGGTTCATGAGGATGGGTGGCTGGATCCCCAAGTTCACACTGGGGGCTAAAGGAGTGTTCCACAGGGGTGACCTGAGAGAGGACAAGCTGCAAGAAGGGATTTGGGGAAGTCATTGCACTGGGGCCTGAGGGTAGGAATGACCCTGTGGAAAAACGTGCCTGGCAAGGGACCAATGTAGGTGAAGGCTGGGATGATTTGGAGGTGTGCCTATGTGGCAGGGGCCAGGTGACTGTGTCCTGGGTGACAGAGTATGGGATGAGGGAGAGAACAGGGTAATGGGGACATCACACATCCATGTGTGAAACACACGTCCTTCCAAGAAGCACACGGAGACCCCAAGCCCTGCCCATGCATCCTTTCCTGCAAGTATGGGTGACTTTTTGATTAGTTTCTTCTCTATTTTCCTATAGCTTGTTTACACAGAGACAATATAAGTGTATATCACACACACACACACACACAAAAAAAAAATTGCTTATCACCCACACTGACTAGTTCTGGGTACTTTTCATTAGCAATGCATCTCAGAAATCTTTCTGTGGCAGGCCAGGGTTTGCTTAATTTCTCGCTTAAAACACTTTATTTTAATTTTTAAAACCATCTTATTCACTGTTTATATGTCTAAGAGTAATTCCTTAAAGCCAGTGATGGAACAGCCTAAATGATCATCAGTGGATGGATAAACAAAACGTACTAGATATATATGATGAAATATTGCTCTACCTTAAAAGGGGAGAAAATTCCGATATGTTACAGCATGGAGAAACACAGAGGACATGAAGCTAAGGGCCAAAACCAGTTACACGAAGAGAAAGCTAGACTGGGGAGATGGGTCAGCAGCTGAGAGCATGCACCTCTCTGACTCACAACCTCCTGGAAGTACAGTTTCGAGGACTTCAATGCCCTCTTTTGGTTTCCACAGCTGTGCTCTGTCTCTGTCTCTCTTGCAATAACTTTGAGTTTCTCTCTCGGCATTTTTGGTGGCGTGAGGCTGAGTGTGTGAACTGGATACGGGTACAATGTGGTTCTAGGACGCCTCCATTCTATGATGCATCATCAGGCTTCATGGTCCAGTAACAAATGCCTGAATTAGTCAACGTATCGAGACAGACGGCTTATTTCAGTTTACTGTTTTGAAGCTTCATTTCTGGTCAGTGTCTGACTGCTTTGGGCCATGCTTTTGAGACACCATGATAGGGTACTTAGTACAAGAAGAAAAAAAAAAAAACAGTCGCCTCATAGCTGGGAAATGAAAGGGATGAAGAGAAAGAGCTCAGCTACCATAGTCCCCTTCAGGCGCATGACCCCAGTGACCCCAGTGGCCCCAGTGACCCCAGTGACCTGAAGAGCTCTCACCGTCTTACACCTCTTGAAGGTCTACCACCATTCAATAGCACCATCCTGGGGACCAGGCTTTGGTGCACAGGTCATCAAGATCCAAACCAAGTAAGACCGTGTATAAGTCACTCGCATCATTGCTGTGATGAAATACCCTGGGAGAAAGGGTTTATTCTGTCTCACAGTTCGTGGTGGCAGGAGCTGGAGCTATCTGGTCACACTGCAGCCACAGTGACAAAGGAGAGAGGAATAAAGGCTGGTGCTCAAGCTAGATTTCTCCTTTCTTTGCAACATAGAACCAGAGCCCAGCAATGGCGCCAGTCACTTTTGGGGTAAGTCTTCCCATCTTAGCCTAATTAAAATAATCCCTCTAGCCGGGCGATGGTGGCGCACGCCTTTAATCCCAGCACTTGGGAGGCAGAGGCAGGCGGATCTCTGTGAGTTCGAGACCAGCCTGGTCTATAGAGCTAGTTCCAGGACAGGCTCCAAAGTCACAGAGAAACCCTGTCGTGAAAAACCAAAATAATAATAATAATAAAATAATAATAATAATAATAATAATAATAATCCCTCACAGGCACAACTGGAGGCTAACCTAATCAAGATAATCCCTTATAAGTGAACCTGGAGCCTTTTGACAGTCAACACTAACCATCCAAGACCACGAAACAGATGAGACTTGTACAATAATCAGTGCTGGTGGGCATGTCGGAGCAACCCTTTGAATGCTGCTGGGGCGAAGGGGTAAGAGGTACATAATGTTGGTGCTCTTGAATTGTGACAAGATTGGGTTCCATGTGCCAAATGCTTCTTGTCCCATTGTCCTTTGACACCAATAAAATCATTGGCAATGCATTCCAAGAAAATATCACAAGGGAGGGGTACTGGAAAGAAAGGTGTGTGCTTCGGCTGTAACCTGGCTCATAGCTGAAGTGGCCAAGCCAAGGCTTACATAGCTAAATCCACGCTGTCTGTGGCTTGTACCAGCAAGGGTCCCCTTATTCTTCACATTGGCAGAAAAGCTGCCAGTCCTCTGCCCTCATGTGGACTTTACTCACGGTGTTAAGGTGGTCTCCTTTTTGTCCTGAGCAGTTGTTAACTTTGCTGGTTCTTGCTCTGCACGGAGCTGACTGTGCGTGAATGAGTGTTTCCAGCAAACGTCTGCCCGTCAGTTCTCAGCTGAGCCATCCTTGCTTTTTCCATCATTAGCTCCGGCCAAGTCCTGCTGTGCGACCCTTTCATGTGCTGCTATGTTTGGTTTGACTGTTTTGTTCCTGTTGAGGCTTCGGCATCACTGTCCCTG